GCGGTGGGATATTATTAAATAAATAAATATGCCGGCCTAAGGTTCACTTAAAAAAACTAACATATTTAACAATAATCCCACCGCTGTCACCTTTAGAGAAAATTATATCTCCTTCGTTTTTTTTTCACAGTATTTAATTTAACTTTTTTCACGTTTAAACCGCATTTCCAATTTTCCCCAACGAAACGAGTGAAGCCGGTTCGGCGAGGATTTAGTCAATGTTGGTGATAGTGGTGGTGTGAGAAAGATTCAAGTCTCAATAGAGAAAATAAAACCCTTTAGTCTCCAACTATTTATTTTCTCTATTATAGTCACTGCGCGAGAGGATGACCTGAGATACGATTCCAGTAGAATTCTCTGTAATGTGGAAAGTATCGGGGGTCGTGTTTCTCGTGTCTAGAATATTGTTTTTCCCGAGGAAAAAGAGTCATCTGATACATGCTTTTCGAAAAGGAATTCTAAAAGTATTCAACTTCAAGAGAATATAAAAAATTGCCTCAATGGATGTTCGCTATATATATATTGAGGTGAAACCTGGTTTTAAAAAAACTTCCTAGATGGCGCCACGTTCTATGTCATTAGTACATTTTGCAATACAAAACTGACTTATATGTCAATTCACAGGATTCTTAATTTAAAAAATTTTAATAATTTTAAAATAAAATTTCATCTTAAAAAATTTTTATCAATGAAACAATTTTATCTTTAAAAAAAAAAATAATAATCTCATTATAAACTTCATAACGATATATTAGATTGTAAGTTAATATATGTGTAATCAAATGCCGACGATTTCGACACCTTTTTAAATGACTATTATTACATTTAAGTATTAAGACAATCTACTTTAATAATTACCTTATAATGAAAAAAATATGCCATGAAAGAATATATTATATTTTGCCACCTCAGTTATAATCCAATTAAAACACGAAATATAAATATAATTGAAAAAAAAAACACACAAAAAATCTTTGTATATGAACCATATGGGTGAAAGTGATTTTTTTAAGGATTTAAAATCGTCATTCTTTTTTTTCACGTGCTTCTTACACCTGCAGCTTTTTTTTTTTTATCACATGTTGTTTTTTATTCAAAATTATATAATATGATGAGAATTTAAAAAAATGATTTCTCCAAATTAATTTTATTTATAGCAAAATTTTCATTAAATATAAAATAGAAATAGCGGTCTGCAAAACCGGAAATAGGACTAAGGGTAATTTTTTAGCACCTAGTACTTTGAGGATTAATAGAATATAAGAAAATAAAAATTTTTGTACCATAATAGCCTCGGTTGGCGGTATTTTTTTTTTTTTAATGTAAATTATTAGTTATTTAGAAATTTTTTATGACAGTCAACAGGAATATTTCGGTAGAATCATATTTTTTTCTAATTATTTTCTTCATTAGTAGTCAAATTTTGTCTTGGTGATTTTACCTGATTAGAATGATGTACGACGCGTTCCTAAACGCAATCTTTAGCAATCAGCTTCTGAATCCAGTTGCGCGTATATATATATATATATATATATATGTATTAATCTCGTGACAGTTTTGGGAGGTCGTGAGCTCTCCAAAAAGTCGAAATACAAGTTGGACTCCCCAGGTATCGTCGAAAGCGATAAAGCAGGTGGACGTATAGGTTGGCCTCACATGATAGAGTTATTATACCAAGGCAGGTGAATCTCTTTCTCTCGATTTACCTGCGAGCTCTCTAATTTGTTTTCGGAATTCGTGAACATCATCATCCTTGTAAATTTTTAATCAGGAACAACTTTATCCTCTGGGCTCTTCATGTCAAGACTCTCAGTTTTGGTTTGCCATTATTAAAAATATTCATATATGCCATATATAGCTTCCAATCTTTCTCTAAGGCTATTTTCAATATATATATATATATAGTAGCTATATGTGAGAAATTTTATTTATTAGTTTGCTATTAATTATTATTTTATTTGAAAAATGTTATATTTTTAAATTAATTCCTTCTTTTGAAAAATAAAACAAATTTCATCTCTCAAGGTGACAGCGGTGGGATTGCATAAATGCTATCCTTTCGGTTATGTTTAGTTAATTTTTTAATTATTCATCATCAAGTATGAAAACCTTTTTTGTTTTCAGCTGTAAAACTGTTTTAATTTTTATTTCTAATCAAGTTTAAACAATTCTTTTTATTAATATTATGCAGATTTTTATTTTTAGTTAATTATTTTATTATTCATCATCTAGTATGAAAACCTTTTTTGTTTTCAGATTTTAAAACTGTTTTAAATTTTTTTTAATGATTCAATAATTATTTTTATTACTATTATGCAGCTTATAATTTTTATTTAATTTTTTAAAAGATTTTTATTTTTAGTTAATTTTTTAATTATTCATTATCTAGTATGAAAACCTTTTTTATTTTCAGATTTTAAAACTGTTTTAATTTTTATAATCAAGCTTAGTAGGGCATTTGTCCAGTGTCACATTTGAGAAGTTGCATAATACTAGAGCAACCTAACTTTTTCAATAATTTTTAATAAATCGACCAAATAACAAAAAGAACTTAACATTCTTTATTAAATAATATATCCTTGTTCCAACTGTGCGACAGATGTCTTTATGAGAAAATCTTTCCCTCACTCTTTGCATGTTCTTTAGAAAAATAAAACTTCGTCTCAAGGTGACAGCGGTGGGATTATAGTTGAATATGTTGGTTTTTTTTAGTGGGCCTATATATATATAGAAAACGTGATATATTTCAGATAATTAGAAGAGTTCTGGATTTAGACCTGGCGCCTTAAGAGGCCAAAAAAAAAAATTGCAGAGTTCGATAAAGTCATCTTGGGTTCCCTTCTATATCCAAAGGAACCACCTGTCCTAGCCCAATTACACAAAGGCAAAACTACCATGTCGGTCTGGAGTATCCTGAGGGTACACGAGAAAATTATCCACGCTAGCGTTTCGGTGATTATACCAGCAGAACTGATGGGTTCGAAACTTAGGCTTTATTACAGAGAAGGAGCTTATATATATATATATACGATACCTACATGTTCGATCGAGAAACTATGCACGAGAAAGAGAGAGAATCGATACGCCCCGAAGTTCAATGTAATAACTCAATTCGATTCTTCAAAAAAAAAAAAAAATCTGACGCAATATTCTTATATTCGTACCGACATCAAATTTTCATCCATGCAAAAAATTATATAATAATTTTCATAAATTAATTATTTATTTTTCTCTAAAAATTTATAGAAAAAAATTGAAATTTTCATATATAGGGAGAAAAAATGTGCGACATCTGTGAGATAAATGATGTCTATAATGACATTTTTTGAAAAGAAAGAAAAAATTACTTTAAAAGGGGACGTTCTTTTAAAGATACAGCACATTTGTAAAATAATATCTATAATAGCCTCCTCTGAACGAAACCCACAATTTGACGAGTCGTTGTCACTGATGATCATTAAAAAAAAAAAAAAAAGGACAGTGTCGAAAATTCTAGAGGCGCCGCATGTATCCATTTATTATATCCTACTGCGAAAGTCATAATCTATATAGCTGCTGACTACAAATTATTATTTTTTTTCGTTCCTCTAATCTGTGTCACATGAGGTCTGTTTTCCATGTAATTTTTCAAACAGGTGCAAATTTACCATGAATTTGAGGTTATTTAAAATAAATTTTCAAAATTTATTCAATGAAAATATGAATTTAAAACCAAATTGAAATTACCATTGAACCAAAATTATACATTTACAGCATTTATGTAATTGATTGTATGTCTAATGTATTTTTGATAATTTTTATCGTTAATGACGCTTCCGCTAGGTGGCAGTGAATTAACAATTATTTACACAAAAAATTATGAAGAATAAAAGACAAAATTAAAATAATAAAAAGGAAAAAAAAAGAATTTTTTTTAGTTGGAATTTAAAAGAGAAAAAAAAAATTTTTTTACGCGTGTGGGTCTTGTGCCTATGCCATAAAGCTGATACTTCACGAGCGTGCGAAAAAGTCGCGCTTCAGGCTTCGTTCCTCCTTCTTCATTCGATCGAGCAATTCTTTTCTTTTTTTTTTATTTACTTTTATTTTTCTGTCTCGGTTTCTCCTTTCCCTTCGCGCCCTCGGGACTCGAACGTGGTAATAAAGACATTAGCCGGGCCTTGGATCATTCACATGATGAAGACGTCCTGCTTCAGGAGGCCAGTTAGCGAGTTAGTTAATGCCAGCTGAACTTACGTACGCTAGCGCCTAACTTTATATTTTCGGCGAAGTGATTTACGCTTTTATCATCCTAATTATTAAATGTGCCGCTTTTAATTGCTTTTCATGTTCTAATAAGAAAAAAAAAAAAATTTAACCCGTCTCTAAAAAGTCGAGGTCACGTTTCAGGTGAAAGTTTTAAAATAAAATTTAAAAAAGAATATAGTATATAGATAAAAATTAATAAAAAAAAAAAAACAATAAAAATAATTTTTTAAAAACTTTTAATTAAAAAATCTTTTATCATTATAAAATTAAATTATATAACTTTAAATATTAAAATAATTTTTTTTTTATTTATTTTTTTTTGATTTATTATTCAATTTTTAAAAATAAAATTTAAAATTAATTTTTAAGAAAGTTAAAAACATTCAAAAAAAAATATATATAAGTAAAAATCAGAAATTTTGAAAACTATCATAAAAAAATATGCGAAAAAATTTATACATATGTTTATTTATATTTATATATTTATTTAAATTATAATTACATAATTTTAATATATTTATATATATATTTATAAATTTATACATTTATATAAATTAACGAATTCTTTGGAGTTTTTGATAAATATAATTGATAATAATTAAAAATGAATAAATTTTACTATACAAAACTTTACAATATAAGGTAACATATTATATTCGAATTATAAATCTCATTATTATAATTATATGGCTGTAAATTTAAGGTTTTTTTTTTAGATATATTTTTATCGTTAGTTTATTTCTTTTCTTCTTTAAGAAATGTTGTGTTTACTTTGAACAAAAAAAAACAAAAACAGTTAACAATTTGGTTTCAAAAATATTTTGATTTTTTCCTTTTGCACATATTAAATTGTTACAAAAGCAGGTAATTTATATTTTTTTATACAATTTATTTCTAATTAAGAAAATTCAATTTTTATATTTTTCATTTTTAGTAAAAAAAAATTATTTTTATAAAAGAATTAATTTTTTTCATTTATTTATTATAGAAAAAAATAGCAATTATTTTATTTTTTAATTATATCTTTTTTTTTTTGCAATCATATAAATATTATTTGAAGAGATGTAATAGATTTCTGAAAAGTAAAATTTATTTTTAATTTATTTTTTATTTCGAGAATTTTCAAAATTAATAATATTAAATATTTTATGAATTTTTATAATTGTATTCCCCCAGTTTCATCTATTTATAATTTATTTATATGTGACTCTCCACGTTGAAAGGGACCTAAGCTGCAAACAAATTTTAGGTTAAAAAAAAAAGTTTCACTGTAAAAAAAGCAAACATAACCTAAAAATTTGTTTGCAGGCTATAAGGCCACTTTCAAACAGGTGCGAAGCGTTACGTAGAAGTTTATATTATTGAATACAATAAAGATATGTTAGATAAAGTTTTCTGATTAAAAAGAAAAAAATAAAAACTATAGTAATATTTTTTTAAATTCTGAAATATTTTAATTGAATTTTAATTTGAATATTGAAATAAATGTTGAAAAATTTTTTTTTTATGTTGCAGCAATACAAAAGTAATTATATCTTATTAAACTGATTTTAATAATATTTCTCGTACATTAATAATAGATTATTAACATTAAGAATATTTTTATGTTAATTATAATCACACCAAAAATTATCGTTTACGAATTAACAAAGGTGATAAGAATTAGAACTGACAATTGTGTCTCATTCTTAATGAGAACAATCCATCTCAAAAGAAAATATTCTTTTTAACATTATAAATATAACTATAATCAATATTGATTTCATCAAATTCTGAAAAATTCAATTACAATTTTCAAAATAAAAAAAAAAAAAGAAATTAACTATAGTTCTGTTTATTACGAGTCATAATACACATTTATAGACTGTCACATTTCGGATCCCCTACTATACAACTTCCATTCATGGGTAAATATAACATCCGAAATGTGACACTATACTGAAGAAAATAAAACTTATTTTAACTTTAACAAAATTAATGTTAATTATATTTTTATTTAATGATAAAAATAATTTTTAATTTGAGGTTATGTCAATGATTTTTTTATCAATTAGGAATGAAATTGAACCGCTTTAATTTTTCCCAATATTTAATAATTAAAAAAAAAATTTTTCTTTTTTCAGTCTTTTAAACAATGAATCAATCAATATGGATGATTATAATAGGAATAATTCTCCTGGGAAATGAATTAAAATGTCTTAAAGAAAATGATATAAAAAATATTGAATACAATGTAAAAACAGGATTGCTTTATGAAGAAATAACACCATTTCATATAATTAGCGACACATGGGAAATATTAATAACTTTAGATAATATAAATTGTAAAAATGCCCTTAAAACATTTTCCGAAATGTTAGAAAAAGCACTAATTCATTGTAAGGAATCAGCTCAATTTAGATGTCATGAACGAATTCAACATGCAAGATTAAAAAATAAAATTGAAATGGCCGTTAATATAAGATCAAGACTTTTAGAAGAAGTAAATGAATTAAATTCAAAATCAACAATTACACATGAATCATTAAATAATTTACGTAAAAAACGTCAATTATTAAATAATAATAATAATGTAACAATTGTTGAATTTAATTCAAATTTAATTGAAGAAAATTTTGACAATTATACAAATACTATAAAAGCAGAACTTGAAAATTTTAATCAATTAGAACCACAAATTTTAACAGAATTAAAATTATTAAAGGATCATTTAAATAATCCATTAAATAATTCTAAAGAATTAGATGAATTAATGTATTATCAAAAATTAAATTTAATTCTTAATGAAGCATCATTGTCATTGGAGAAAAGTATTGAGGAATATATTAAATATTTAGAGGCAATGTTAATTGTTGTTCATTCAATACAACAAGGTAAAATACATTCTTATTTGTTGAAAAAAAAACAATTATTGAATATTATTAATAAAGTGGAAAAATTAAATAAAAATTTACAATTTCCAATGACAATTGATGAGATAAATATTCCTGATATTATTCGTATTTCATCAATGTCTTATAAAATAGTTGATAATGATAAACTTCATGTTACATTGGAAATTCCATTATCAAAAAAAACCAAATACATTCTTTATCGAATGCATCCAATTTATAGGAAACAAGAAATTTTAAATAATGGAACAGGTTATGCTTATATTAAACCAAATACACAATTTATTGCAATTGATGAACATAAAAAATATTATTTTCCATTGAAGAAAAATATTTTAAAAAATTGTCATAAAATTGCCGGTAGATATTATTGTTATTTAATTGAGGCGCACTATAGTGTTACAGAATTAATGAATTGTGATGTAGAATTATTAAATGCAATATCAATGGATATTTTTAAAAAATGTAATATTAGAATTTCATTTAATTATAAACCATCGTGGATGGCAATTGAAAGTTTAGGTGGTTGGTTATATTCATTGCCAAATGAAGAAACAACTGAAATATTATGTGATAATAAAGATCCTAAATATATAAAATTACGAAATACAGGATTTTTGAAATTATCATCAAAATGTGTTTTACGTACAAAAACTGTTACTTTATATCCAATGAAAACAACAATTATTAATTCTAAATTTAATAATTTTTCACCAATTGAATTGAATTTAAGTGAAATTTCATCAATTTTATTTAATTATTATAATAATAAAAAATTGCAAATTTCATCGTGTCCAAATAATAAAAATGATTGTAGTCTATTGGAATTGGAAACATATTTAATGACTGACAATATTTGTGAAACAAATGAATTTTATTATTTTATTTTCATTATTTTAGGAATTTTAATTATTTTATTAATTATTATTATTTTTATTATCATTTTTATGTGTATATTTTATTCTCGATATAGTAGACAACTTATTAGAAAAGAAAGTAATGAATCAGTGGAAAGTGATTGTGAAGAAAGAACAACAAGAAAATATTTACCCCAAAGGACATTAGTATAAAAATTATAAATTAATAAAAAATTCATCTAAATAAGAATTGGGTAAAATAAAAAATTAGGCCAAATAAGATTTGGGTGTAATGAAGATTTAGCTAAATAAGAATTAGGTGAAATAAAAAAATTATGCACAATAATAATTAAGTTTAATGAAGTCCTAGAAAATATTTAATTTTTTATTAATTTATTAATTATTATTTCAAAAAAAAAAACTGTTTTGTATTTCGTTTATTTGATATTATATATAAAATCTTAAACTTTATTTTAATGTAAAAAGAAATAAAGAAAAAATTGCTATTTTGCAAAAAAAAACTATTTTTTATTTTTAAACCCACCTTTTTTTCACGAAAATATTTTAAAAAAATGGAAATCACAATATTTCATTCAAATATTTATAGGCTACTACTAGGACTTTTGCAGTGTTACTTAAAAAAAAATTTTTTTTTTTTGTTTTTTAACTTTTGCATCGACTTTCAGTTAGAATATGGTAAAGTAAGAAAACTTTTTTCATAAGCAGCAAAATTTCTGTACCTTTCGATTATTATTATTATTATTTTTTCATCCAAACCTCTCTTCTCTACATATTCTGAATCTGGGTTATAGTTTTCATATGAGTTAGGAAAGTGTACAGGTGCACCAGGTGATGCTAACGAGGTTGGCCTTCTGCTAATATACTTTCGAGAAATTTATATCTATATTTAGGCGATACCCAAGATTGTGTTGTTAAAATTCTCAAATATTTCATCAAGAACTATTTATATGAAGATAATAATGGCGGGTTAAAATTCTTTTTTTTTTTTTTGATAAAAATCTAAACATCTTTTCTCGCATGTTAAACAAATGTTAAGCATTCAAAATACATAATATACATATTAATACTAAAATAGTCAGGTTGTAATTAAGTGCCTTTAAAACATTTTTTTTTTTTGATCCTATTTAAGATATAGATAGAGAGATATAACTATATTTAAATAATAGAATCGCAATCTAAAAATACTTAAAACTTTAGAAAACAATTTTTTTTATAAAAAATACGTTGAATATATTATAAATATAACAAAACTCAAGTTATTGGGTTAATTTTTCTAAACTGATAAGTAAGAAATAGATCTACGTTTAAGAATTGAGGTTATATATTTATTTATCTTGGCATAATTTTGAGGTTACAGTTGCCCCAAGCCTATTATATCTTGAAATTTATCTTAAATTTTGAGGTTATGTTATCTTCTATTAAAAAGCACTGTTCTGCGCAACTTTTTTTGACATTGAAAAATATATTCATTGTTCATAAAATACACATTTAAGTTTACAGAGAAATATTATAAAATAAAAACTATTGTTTATTTTTAATGTTTGTCTATTTCCTCATGTATTTTCCCCACAATTATTCATTATCTAGTATAAAACACTTGCTTTCATCCACTGAATCCAATACGTCACTAGTCTCACTCATTGAATTTCTTCTTCCTCTTAATTTTATTTTCTGGTCATTTTTTAAAATTATCGATGTCAAGAAAATATTATAGAACAGCCTTAACAAACTTTAGTAGGATATTTGGAAGTTAGCCATTCTCCCCACTCACCAAAATCTCCACTTGCCATTTGTCATAATTCTCGTCATCTACCGCACCCTGCTCTAGTAAAAATTTAGTGACTTTATTGTTAAAATTAAAAGTTACTAAACTTTTACTAGAGCAGGGTGTGGTAGTTGACGAGAATGATAACAAATAACGAGTGGGGACAATGGAAACCAACCTCTACTATATATAGTTATGTTCTCCTATATAGTTGAGCATCCGAAATATGACAGTAAAAATATCTATGTAGTGGAATAAATCTCAGGGTTGTGAACATATGTATATATATATATATATATGAATAGAAATGTCGGTGATTATTTGATGTTATAAGTAGAGTACATGTCAAGAGTACAAGAGAAAGGGAGATAACTCATTGGCAACTTGAAATCAAAAGTGGGAGATAAATAAAAGGGTAAAGTAATGGAGTTGTAGAGAAGTGGAGAGGGGGTGACGGTAATTACTTTAATAACATCCTGGCAGACTAGCGTCTTGATGAAGTCATTATTGGCCTCGCCTCGACAGCAAAAGTACCGAAAGACGAGTCATATTTAACGTGTTCTTAATGATTAGACCAAGTAAATATATATTTCAAAAAAAGGTGATGCGGGATAAAATTAATTATTGAATATCGATTCTAAAAAAACAATTAAAAATTTAAAAACTAATAGATATAAAAGTACGACATATTTAAATTAAATAATTTTTTTCTATGGAAATGAAAAACTCTAAATTGTTGCACGAAAGCAGAGTTGGGTAGTAACTGAATTTTTTGTGCATATTAGGCTGTGTCAGTTCATCGAGATATTTCGAGTTCAAGATATGACGTCAGAGGTCTGGAGGGACAACAAACAGACGACACAATGTTATTCATACGGGGAAGAAAATTTGTTTCCACTTTCATCAATTTTATTCATACTTTAAACACGGAAAACGCTTGTTGACATATAATAAAATTAAAATGTGTGTTGATAATTAATTTTGTTATATATTTGATTCATTTGCATTGATATATTCTCTGAATTCGTGATAAAATATAAATATTGAGGTTAGAAAAGTTTGTTTACTAATCACATTTTACATTTTAACATTATTAAACAATATCCAGTATGCATGTTATTAAAAAAGATATAAAATATATATTTTAAGTGGGAATTACCGCAGCAGTAAAAGATTTGAAGTTAGTAAACAAACAACCCTAACCTCAAAATTTATATTTTATCACGAATTCAGAGAATCTATCTAGCCTAATATGCACAAAAAATTCAGTTACTACCCAACTCTGCTTTCGTGCAACAATACAGACGTTGAGTTGTAATTTCCCAGTTCTGATTATTTACGTACTGTCGTCAGCTGTTAGTTGTATTAGACAAAAATATTTTTATTAATAGACAATAATTATAGAAAAAATATTTCCACGTGCAATTACTTATTTATATAAAATTTGTGGATTTAATAAGTTAAGTGTAAAATTACTAATATTTTTATTAAAATTAGACAGTTTACTCAAATATGACATCCATTTTTCTAGTAATATTTTAGTAACATTTTTATCAATCACAAATTTATCCTTTACCCTGTATCCTAACGACTTTTATCCTCTATCTTTACAACTTTTTACTTACCTTTTTTTCTGTGATCTAAATATATTTATTTTCCAAAATGTTATAGAAGCAACCTATTAATTTTTTTTTTTAATTAATAATAATAAATATTCTTATCTTTTTTTATAAAATTAAAAAAAATGGATCATTTAATTGGAAAAATAATCCAAAAATTGAATTAAATGACGCAAAGAAAAATATATTCACAATTTCCAAATAAACGGATTTAATTTGAAAATGTATATGTGTATATACGTTTCGAAATCACGTGTAAACATTCTATTTGAGTTTGGTCCGTTCACTTAAACTTGATGTAACTAACATTTCAAACGTTTCAAATAACATGGTTTATATACATTCGAGGAGCTTTGATTATCGAAATATTTCGATTTCGACTAAACTTGTGGTCTTTGAGTTTTCAGTATTAATTTGTCAGTTTCATGTTTTGCTCTAGACAATTCATATTTGTCACTTAGCAATATAAATTAGTATCAAGCAAATTCAAAAATATGAATATGCCTACACTTTTTTGTCCATTTCTAACGTACATGTTGTCATGGCAACACGTGTGTTAGAAAAAGACAAAATGTGTAAGGGGCCATTCATTAATTACGTAAGGACGATTTTGGCTAATTTTGACCCCCCCCCCCCCTACGCCCATGTAAGGATACACAAGATTTTTCGGACCCCCCCATCTCCCTTCTTACATACGTAAGTTTTTAACAATATTAATGTAATTATAAAATTAATTACTACAATACAAATGGAAAACACTTGGCAAAATCTTACGTAAGATTAGCTTCTACCCTCCACCCCACCTTGACGTAAGACCATGTAGAGATTTTATAAACCCCCCCTCCCCCTAAGGACCCTTACGTAATTAATAAATGGCCCCTAAGCATATCTAGCCACTAGTGTAACATCCGTGCAGTTAAACTTTCGAAATGTCATTGTTTTACATTCACATAAAGGCTAACGCACAATAGCATTTTATTATTGCGATCCGAAATCTTGTGTAACTACTCAACCCTGAACCCACTTGCGGCAACCATCTTGCTGTTTTGTCTCTTTTTTTATACATATGTTAGACAGAGACAAAATAAAAAATGGCTACCGCAAGTGGGTCGACACCAGATGGTGTATCGCAGCTCTGCGGTTCCCAATATTAGAATTTTAATTTAATTTAATATTTTTTACAAATTTTTCAAAATTATATATTTAAATATATGTGTACGTCCGCATGAAAAGGGACCACTTTAGTTTCTTTCATAAGGGCGATATTTGCATTAATTTTTACGCAAAAATAATCCTTATTGTAATCGACAAAGTGGTCCCTTTTCATGTGGACATACACATATATTTAAAGTTTTTTTTTTTATCCTCTATGTTTTAGGAAACTGGAAAAGTCATTTGCTTTCAATTTTAGGAAGGACTTTAAACTCTGCTTATGCTAGTTTTATTTACCTGACTCTAATTCGGATAAAGGGAGGGGAATTTTGTGTTTCTGAAACTGTTCTCTTTGCGCTCACTGACAGTATATGTATATATATATATATGTATACATACACTCTCGGCATTTGGATTTTACGACAGAATTCTGAAAACTCATCGGCTGGAAGCTTTCGATAGTTTCTAGAGCTTAAAGTCGAGTCTAGCTTAGCATTTTATCTGTTCCCCGAGGAAGAAACTTTGACGACCATCTGCTTTTCAAACTTTTATGAGATTAAATCCATGAATGATTTACGCATTTCTACATATCTTAATATATAATATTTATAAATGTCATTATTCAAGAGTGTACAAATTTTTACGTTGAAAAAAAAAATTATTTAATTCAAAATAATTGGTTTCTTTACTATAAATATTTCCTTGCATTTTATTTGATTTAAGAACAGTAATTATTGGTTTAAATATAGTTTATTTAAATTAAACAAATATTTATTTGAATCAAATAAATATTTATTTAAATCCAAAT